GTTTAATAAAAGGTTTTAAAACGCTTGAAAACCATAATCTTGATAGTAACTTGAAAGTAGTAGTAAATATTTCTGTTTGTTCTAGTCATTAATCACATATGATTAAAGCAATAACTAGAATATTTCAACTTGTATCCCTCCCATAAAAGCATTTAAAATTATTTCAAAGGTTGATTAAGGGGTATGAACTCACCTGTAGTGAGTGGTTTGGATGGAAGTGACGGACAGGATGCTAAGTGTCAAGTGAAGACTTGAACACACACACGGGGTCCTATTTAACATGTAATGACACATATATGTATCTAATTAGTCATTTAACAACTAATTAATCAAGTAAGGACACCCTAAAACATGGATAACACTTTGATTCAAGTGCTAGGAGTATTAAGGGGTTGCATCTAAAGAGAGTATGGCCTCACATTGGAGTTTACGCCCATATGGTAACCCACATGAGTTTACGGTTTATGGTCATTTCCCCCATGAGTTTACGGTCGTAAACTCATGGTAATTAGTACCATTGTGTGTTTTAGGGTCTTACAAGTCAAGGTTAAGCACCCTATGATCAAGTCCAAGCCTTAGGAAGTAATAGTGGCACAATTTGCACCAACTTTTAGAGTTTACGGTCCATGGTCATAACCCCATGAGTTTACGGCCGTAAACTCATGTGTGCTTGCTTCTTTTGCTGTTTAAGGTGCTATACTCCTCAAAGAGTGATCTAGACTTGGTTCCAGGCTTAGAAGGGACTAGGGCTCATAATGGCCCCCTTATTAGGGTTTTACGGTCCTAGTGGGTTTACGGCCGTAAACCCATGGTAACCCCTACCATTTCGTGGTTCAAGGTCCTTAGCTCATGCATGCAAGGTTCTAGTCCAATATCCAAGCCCTAGAAGGTAATGGTGGCACATATGCACCACCTTATGGTGTTTACGGTCCAAGGAGATTGCCTTGGCCGTAACCCATGTGTTCTTGGGTATTCTTGATGTGTTTTCAATGGTTTAAACAAGCATTCTAAGTAAATAACTAGTTAGGAGGAGGTGTACTTACTTATAGGAAGCTTGTAAGAGTGTTTAAGGTCCAAGAACACTAGTGTGTGTTCTTGGTGTTTTAAGACACTTGAAGATCTATAAAAAAGACAAGATTTCATGGATGAAATCATGTATAACTACTAGATGAAGTGTTATAACAACAGATCAAGAGAAGAAACACTTACATTTTTGGAAGATTGGAAGAAATATGTTATGACACTTGAGAGAGAAATGTGGGTGTTCTTGAGCTTGGAAGTGAGAAGTGAGGAAATGAGGAGTAAACTCATGCCTTAAGCATGAGTTCACGCCCAAGAGGAGTTTACGGCCCAAACTCCCAAAGTTTGGCCGTAAACACCTTGTTATGGTGTGAAATGTTTATTTGTTAAACATCACTCCTAGAAGATACTTCCTTTTATTTTTCGTTTGACGAATTTATATTAAAAACACCCAAACGGACTTTGAACCGGCTAAAAATTAGTAGAAATGAACTTGACTATTATTTGTATTGCTTGACTGCAGGGTTTGTACAAAATAAAAATTTCGGGTCGTCACAGCAGCGATGATGGTGATGGTCTTGATGTCGATGATGAACGTGTTCGGCCACACACATAACTAAGTCAAATATATTCACTTTATTTCCTTAATTGAATGATTTCAATTAAATGATGTCCTATTAAAAGTATAAAGGTCAAAATACCATTTAATGATTTATTTAATTATTATTATTCTTGAATTCTCATTGGTTGCATTTAGCCACAACAATAGTTGGCTAGAACATTTTGAACCTAGCTCCCTCTCTCTCCTCGCTCTCTCTTATAGATATATATAGATATATAATATATATATATTATATAGATATATATCTATTATCTCGAATATATAATATCTATATACTTATTTGCTTATTTTATTTTAAACGGGATGTTACAGTCATGAACGAAAATTGATGGCCTTTCCATTCTATTTATTGTTTAGGTAACTTGTAAGCAAAGCAGAATCTAAATTGATTAAATAATAGATTTAATTCTAATTCAAATCCTTTCCTTTTATGAAACCATGAGGCTTATGGAAACCCTAGAAAGACTCCCAATTTCGTTCACCCCTTGGATGATTATAGAATTGTTTCTTTTGTTCAACTATTGAACAATTACAATTCACCCATTGTACATTTAATTAATTTTGATTAATAATTAATTAATTCTAATTGATTTCTTATTAATTTATTAACCATATAAATTAACAAATCAATTATTTACCTATTGATCACATGTTAATTTATTAATCACATAATAAATTAACATATTAGTTATCTATTCCCAATTAATATATTAATCATATAATATATTAACAAAACCGATTTCGTCTCCTCTCCTCTCTACTCTCTCTCTCCTCTCTCCTCAGCTCCTCTCTCTCTCTCTCTCTCTCGTAATATAATTTCTAGCTATTCCTGGTTATATGAGGGCAACCCAAATATATTTTGCTTCTATTTTCAAGTTTATATCAATTTGTTTATGAGCTTAGATACCTTAATCCAACACAATCAACTTGTTTTTTTTTACTATTACACCGTCTTTGTTATCAAATCAACTATAATTAAACAATACAACAATCGAGGGCTTGTTGTCATAATAGTCAATTTCTTAGATCTCTTGCAATATGTTGTAGTAGTCCAACTTTTATTCGGCATTATAAGTCTCCCTCACCACACATACTCTAAAGTTATTCGTCATACGAACCTTACCATACTGTTTGGATTATTTTTTTTTTTTTGGATAACATCACCACCATCCTAATTTATTTTTTTAAAAATTCCACCAATCTCAACATTGTCGGACTGGGTGATGGTGGTGGTGTTGTTCAAAATATATTATCTTCTAAATATTTAAAATAAATTAGGAGATGTGGGATGAGTGAGATTTTTTTTGGGTTTTTTTATTTAAAATAATAATAAAAAACAATTAAAAGAAAATTAAAAACAATTAAAAAAAAGTAATCCAATAAAATAATATTTATTAATATATGGGTTATAAACCAAACATTCATGTTTAAAGTTAACCATATCAAATGGGTTAGCTGTTAGCACAGAACCACGGAGCTCTTGTTAACCGAGTCAATATGAAAGGGGGAGATTGAGGTTCTAATGGGGTGAGATAAACCAGGAAAAAAAAACCCTACCGTATGTCTTCGATGAGGGTTGGAAAGGAGATGAGTCACAAAAACCTCCAAAGTAGTATCTTCTGGACATGGGCAATATTTCAGTTTCTTCCAAAGCTTATACACGCTCTTTATGAATGTTGATTTACACAACTTAAAAAAAACTCGCACATTTGTTACCAACTTACCATACAAACATGAAATCAGACGTCCGGCACTAATAAACTAAAAGGGTGGGTTTCTTCAGCGGAGAGAATGGCGGGCTTATATTTGATTTTTACTTTTATTTTATAAAAGAGTTGGACCCACTTTAATTCACCTTATGCCATGTTTTTGTAAATAAAATTAAAAGTTTAAAGCCACAAGACTATGGTAATTATTTTTAGAAACACTGTCCTTGGGTACAAAGCTGTGAAAGAGGTTGATAGTTCAAAAAAAAATCATTAATTCTACGACTATTTACAAAGAGGTTGATATTTTAGAAGATTTTTGACATAAATTAGAGTTGCAAATCATTGCAGTTAGCAAATGTAGTTCACAAGATAATTATATCACAAATTCCTGAGACCATTTTTTGCAAATCAGATGGTAAATGAAGTTAAATATATTATATAATGATATATGAGAATTCATGTTGTTTCCCATGTACGTTTTTGTTCGTCGTCAATATATAAACTTTTAGAGGGTGTTTGGGATTGCTTTTCAAATGACTTTTTGGCTTTTGACTTTTCCAAAAAGTCAAAAAATTCAAAAAGATGTTTGGCAAATAAAAAAGGCTTTTTGCCAAAAACAAAATGATAGCTTTTCAAAAGTCAGAAAATCTTATTTTTTTATGACTTTTAGTCGTTTAAAAGGTAAATTAGATTCAAAAGTCAAAAAACTAAAACAAACATTTTTTAAAACCAACTTTTGGCTTTTGCTTCTTTAAAAGTTAAAATCAAAAGAACTTTTATAAAAAGAACTTTGAGGATTAAAAAGTAATCCAAACACCACTTATTTGATGTAGAATACATCAACATGTTTTTTTGCATAACTATACATAATGATGCAAAATGTAGGAAAGCACTTATAAAGTTTTATAATTTTTTTTTTTATTTTACTTTTTTATATTATAGTGATCCAAACCATGATACCTTTTTATCTCTAAAAACACTTTCCCCAGTTCGGTTTTGATGTCAAGACAAAACATAAAAAACACAATGTTTTCTAGATTAATGATTTAGGCATTTAGCCATTATACTATTATTATAATAACCATAAAAACAAAGGGACATTTAAGATTGTTTATTTTACTCAATAAACATTTTTTTTATAAAAATGCTTATTAATTTGTATGGTACCAAAAATATATTTAAAAGAAATGTTTGGATTAGCTTATATGATAGCAAAAAGACTATAAATTGATAAGTCATTTTAAAAAAAAAATAGATAAGCTTATAGTAAGTTTTTTAGGTGAAATAGTCTGCAAATAATTTTCAAAACTCAGGTGTATGACTTTTTAAAAACTATTTTTTGAGGAGAGCAAAAAACTGTTTTTAAAAATATCCTCGAAAAATTGTTTTTAAAAATACTTTTCTATTTCCCAAACACTTTTTTAAACTTACTGCTTTTAGAAAGCTGAGAAATCAATAAGCATTTTTCAAACTCAATACCAAACACCCCCTAAATAGTTCAATGTCTAAACCATAAAATAAAGAAAATTTCATTAAACTTTTCTATATTTTAATTGTCTAATTCGATATAATTATAAAAGTACGTTGCCTTTTTTCTATATCTTATCCACACTTTCGACCTAACTTTGAAAGTTTTTGGGATATGCAAACACACACACACATAACACAAACACTAGAAATTTATAGGGTCATCACTCATCATATCCAAACATGGCTTCATAATCAATTCTAGTTTAAAGAAAGAGCAATCTTGTTTCATCGATGCTCCTCTTCCTTCACAAACCATAGTAGCAGCATTCGATGAACAATCATGTACAAATTCCCAATAATTTTCAAATTTTGAAATTTGTTATAATAATCGCTTACCCAGTCAATTACAAAGTTCCATCTTCGTTTCCATAGTTAACATTTCTGCTATTGTTATCAGTATCTGTTCATGATAATCAGAAGTCGAGTGTAAATTAATGATACGTTTGTTACAACGCACATGACTTAAGAAGCTTTCTAGGGCTGTTTTTCTAATGATGGAAATGAGAGGGGCGTTTAGATCTCATTGCTACATCTTGAATTTAACCCTTTATCGATTTAAAAAAAAAAAAAAAACATACCTAACTGAGGCGAGATATATCCACATCTTCCGGGATCTTAAACGTTTCAGCCGCACCAAACTTTCTAAATTCTTCACCCGTAGAAGCTTCATCTTCATTTTCACTATCATACTTATCATCATCATCATCTTCTTGTTCATGAGAATGTGGAATTGAAGGATCTTTGACACTTTTCGATATGCAATTTTGTGTTGCGAGCATTTTGACGCGTCCAAGATGCGAGATTTCAACAACCGTGGTGTCGTCTTCTACAGGGAGAGGTTGTTTCCAAGGCTCTCCATCCATTCGCATATACGTGCACTCTGCTGCACCCTTGTGGAATTCAAATCTCACCCGATGTGTCTATACAGAAAATTGCACGAAATAAATTACCCAAAAAAGGGAAGTTTTTGGACTTCTTTTGTATGTGTGTGTGTGTGTTAATGGAGAAAAGTGGCATAACATTATAGAAGTTGGATTGAGTTTTAACCTGAGCCAAACGGGTGCCATGTCCCTTTGGTGCAAGGAGAACAAGCCCATGCCATGCATCTCTGAAACCAACAATCTCAATAAGCCCATCATCAACATATGGTGGGGTCAAGTCTCTCTGAAACAAAATTTCATGCTTATCAAGAATGTTCAAGTTATCCCAATTTATCCTGAAATGGGAATACTGGAAAAGAGTACAAAAGAAGACGAAATTATAATACTAACATCACGAGATTTGTGCTGGTTTGGTGTTCCCCAAGGATTTAGTCCACCAGAGAAACTAGGCAAATTGAGGCATAAAATTGACCGGATACTGCAAGTCAAACAAGGATGATGATGTTACATTCAATCACATATACTCAAAATTACAGAAGATGAAGATGAAGAGGGCATTCACGTCTTTTTCACAGACCAAAGATCCCGGTCCCACTTTTGTTTCACCTTTTTGGGTAAGAAAGCATAATCAAATATGGACTGAATGCAATAACTAGCAATGTACTTTTATTTTTTAGTGTGTTATAGCATCTTGGCTTTCATTTCTTTCTATTAAAACATCTTACTTTCATATTTTTTCTTATTAAGGCACTGCAGTTTGAAATATCTAGTAGAGTTTTTAAAGTACAATGCTCTAGTAAACAAATTAATAAAAGTATGTTGCTATTTCTTGCATTTAACTCATTTATAAAATACAACTCAAGGAAAAACAGTTATCTATAATTACCTATGATGTATTTTGAGGTCTTTCCAGCCACCATGCCTTTGCATAACCTTAACATTTATAAGCTGGGCAATATTCCTGCATTTAAAAAAAAAATTAAAAAAAAAAAAAAAAAATGTTAGTAAAACGGTTTTATCAATTTAGCAATTGGACTATTGTTCTTATATAATTATTATAATAATATTTCAGTGGCTAAATCACTAAATGATAAAGTGTTAAGAAACTCACTTTGAAGAAGGGTGGAAGAGAGATGCTGCAAACCACCCTTGAGTACACCCGATCTTTGCATATGTACTCTACAAGGTAAATAAAAGCACAAGGTCACTCAACTATCATCAAAATAATCATAATAAATATAATAGGTAAAAGTCCCTAAATTGATAAAATGGTAAAAACACATTGTGTTTTCTCTATTTTGCCCTTTTCCCTTATCTGAAAACATGTTGCCTTTATTATCATACCTGATTAGTCAACTGATTTTTGAATTTTTCTGGATGCAATTTCCTCTCACAATGAAACGCATACGATACTTGAGCATCCATCCCTATATATAAAAAATTTCTCAGAATTTTTATTTAAAACAATCCCTTGGAAATTTCTAGAATCTTTATTAAAATGTTGAGACTTACCCATGCTGAAATAATTCCAGAATCCTCCACGAAATGTGTCGTAACCTGACTGAGAACATTTACCAAGTACACATTAACAAAATATGTAATGAAGATTATTCGACTTATTATTTTGTGTTATAATAAAAATTAAATTGATAATGGGATACTTTACCACATTAAGTTCATCTGTATCAGACACACGATTAAATGCATGTAAAGAATGTGGCAACTCCAAAGGGGCAATGGGATCACAAGACCCTTCTTTTGGGGCAGATTTCATCCTCATAAGAATATGCCAGCTGTCCATTATGTGGTGAAAATGAAAATGTGAAATCAACTATAAATAAAAACAAAAATAGGGATTACGGATTACCTGTCAATCTCCATTTCTTTTCCTTCCATAACTTGCTTCAAGAATTTCAAAACAGATTCACGATCTGTTCCTGGATTCTTTTTTCCCTGAAAATCATGTTTTTTTTTTTTAATGTCAAATGCAAAAAAAATTAAGTGATTATAACATTCTTCTATTTTATCATGTGTTTAATAATATTTTACCCAACCAAATGCAAATGGGAGATTGTTTCCAGTTCCTAGAGGCACTGTTGCTATTGGTGGTGGATGAGATAATTTCAGATCACTAACAACTCCAAGCAGCCACCCAGCAGTTCCATCTCCACCTGCAACCTGAAGAAATATAAATACCGCCACGTCAGCAAATATTATACTTATTTAAATATATTTGAAAAGCTGAAATATAATCGTAAATTAACTCACAATTATTCGTAATTGCTTCTCTATTGTAGTTGCTAATGCATCTTTATTAAATTTGAGGTTTTCTATATTGAGGTACAATCTGCGTAACACTTTATCTGGAGCTTCTTCACCTAAATCAAAAACCTTTTGTAGGTAAAAAAAAATAATATAAAGTTAGATATAATGAAAATATTATTCTGATCATAAATTAATAAAAATACATAACATAATGATGAGAATACCTGATTCTCATTTAGAACAGAACGGTATGTGACAAGAAGCTCACTGCCCAACTGCCCGCCACTTTTGGAGTTGACAAATACTATTGTCGGGCAGGTGGGTGCCACAGAAGGAACCTCAAATTTTCCGCCCGAAACAAGAATGTATTCCGGTATAAAAAATTCGTTTAAAAAGTTTTCTGGATAGGAGGATTTATGATTCTTCATTATGCAAAAACCAACTGCAGTCACAACATATGAAGATTATAGGGATTTAAATTTAACAAGATCAATGAGGCTCAAATCGTATGAGGGTATAATCGGTATGAATTATAAACAAGAAAGAGCAATGTAGTTTTATTGATTTGTTTATTATAGCATCCTACTTATTTTCTGTTTTTCTTTTTCTTATTAGAATATTTACTTTGAAAAATCTATCTATAGCAATGTAATCTAGCAGCCTAACAACAACCCAGTTGATTATTGTAAGATAATCAAAAACGAAATTATTTTATTAATTTTGGAATTGATAGAGTATTGAACTCTTATAGTATATACATGATTTTACCAGTTACGATATGTAGTATATAGTATCTGTTTACTGTTTGATGATGGAATCATGTCGCTGTTGAAGGTGAAGGAACATGAGCATCTTTGATCCAAAATTCCAATTTTAATTTTTCTTTTTCTTCCTCCGAACAAAGGGGTTATTAATTACAGGATCCGTTATTCCAAAAGAATCGAATCAATTTTTCATAAAACTCAATGTGTGATCATCATTTCTAATCACTTTAAAAAAAATCGGCGCTATCCGGCAGAATTGAACAATTCCAACCCAAAAAAAATAAATAAATAAAAATAAAAAGACAGAACTTGAATCCAACAACTTTTTATATGACAATCACCCAAAATTCTCCGAAAAGAGCTCCCAACTTTTCAAAAAAAAATAATAATTGGATCGAAATTCAAAAAAGGAAAAAGAAAAAAAAAATGGGGGTGAATGACGAACCTGGTGTTCCGGCTTCGGAGCGATTTCGGAGAGGAATTCAGATCCGAAATTTGTTGAAAGAAGAGAGTGAAAGCGAGTAGAAGACGTCTCAAGTGGATCGTTTGAAGAACGTGAGAGTTAAAGTTGACTTGTATATTTTGAATTCTATACGAAATCTTTGTCACGAGGAGATGGCTGTCATGGCTGCAACTCCATGTGTGTGTGTGAGAGAGAGGATGGGAGAGATTCTGAATAAACCAAAAGATGCAGAGTTGTTGAAGAGTCGAGTGGTTGATGGTGACGTAATTTAAGAGCTTTCTCAGAAATATCAAAATGGGTACCACTAAAATTTGTAAAATTATATTCAAATTTGGCAAGGTATATTATAATGAGAAATTACCAAAAAGGGAGGTGGTTTAAAAAAAATAACCAAGAAAAAACAGATTTTGGAAAATGACCAAAGGATCCGTAGAACACCCTCTGCGGATTTATTGAAGGCTCTGCAGATCCTCTACAGCTCTATGGAATCTTTGTTTTTTTATTTTTTTATTTTTTTTTTTTTTTGTTTTTTTGTTTTTTTGCGTTCATTTTCGTTTATTAATATTAAATTATTTTTTTAAATACACTAATACTTTATGTGATTATTATGTAAAAATTTTGACAAAAAAAAGTTAAAAATAATGAAATGTTTTATGTAATACGTTTGCTACTGATGTATATTTTCCATGTATTTTTTCTGTTTTGTATTTTATTTTCTATGGAATAAAGTAGAAGTTAACTCAACTGATTTCGTAAATAACCTAATACAAACCAAATAGATATAAATAACGTAATACAAATCGGTGCATATAAATAACCTAATTAAAATTATACAAATATTCCATGTTTTTCATAGGTTACAAAACAATACTTTAGAAAACATAAACATACAAACCTTCATAATAAACATACTATGAAATAAACTTCATTCATTCAAATCGAACCACAGAAACTTTGATTTGTTTTCGTATTCCGTCCATGAGTTTTCTGTTGCTTGTGTCCCTAGGTTTACTGTCGCTTGCTTCCATTGGTTATCTGGTTGTTGCTGCCATTGGTACTCGGTGCAACCCTGCCATTGGTTCTGTGGCTCTTCCTGCGGTCGGTATTCGGTCCCTTGCGTCCATTGGTTATGTGGCTCCTGTTGCCATTGATGTTCGGTCTGTTGTGTCCATTGGTTGTCTAGCTGCTGCTGCCATTGATGTTCAGTCTGTTGTGTCCATTGGTTGTCTGGCTGCTGCTGCCATTGTTGTTCGGTATGTTGCGTCCGTTGGTTCTCTGGCTCATACTGCCATTGGTTTTCGGTCGCTTGCGTCTGTTCCTCTTCTTTCGCTTTTGTCCCACTCCCTGATGCCCCAGTACGTTTTTTACTTTTACTTTGGTTATTTGGAACGATTTCCTTACACGTCTTTGCATTATGAGTTGTGCTATGACATCTACTACACCTTCTTATTTTTGGTTCCTCACCTTGAGAGGGAATACGATTGGTGTTTTTTGGTCTATCGGCTTGACGTATTTCCATCACAGGAGGGTTAACACCATAAGGTCATCCGGAACCTCCTAATCACTAAGTTCTGAGAGAGGGTATACGACATGCTCATACGTTCTTCAATATGTTTCAATTTTATAAGCATCTATAGTTATATGCCCACAGTGATCAATTTTCAAGTGCGTTAAAACCATTCATGACCACATGGCAAAACAGTTAGTTGCCAGTATCTGCAAGAACAAGTCTTTTCCCTCAAATTCACTATGCCCCCACTTTTGAAGTCATGCACTTGATATGTTGTATTGTCAACACTGGATACCGACCATCCTTGAATCCCCTCTTTATTTTTTTTAACCATATCTTCAGCCCACTTCGTAAGTATTGTTGTACTTTTTTCCTGTTAAAACAAACATATATTATTATATATGACATTTATCATATAATTTAAAAATAAACATAATCATACCTGCAACCATCCGCCGTTTGTAAAACCATTTCTGCATAAGTGCGCGAAAGAACTCAAGAAGTGGTAATCTAGGAAACTTCCTTGCTTTATTTGATACAACATTCATGGACTCCATACTATTTGAGGTAATATAATCATACCTCGTGGTAGGGCAATACGCTCTGGTCCATTTCTCACGTGGAATTTGACTTAGATATGTCGTTACATCATCTCTTATATTACGAAGTCTCCCCCAATAGAATTCAAACTCAGTGGTTTTGTAAGCTTTTATCAGCTTCCAAAACAAAATTGATGTTTTTTTGTTTTTTCCAAAGGTGTGGACTATGTTTCCTATTAGATGAAAAGCACACAATCCATGTTGAGCATTTGGAAAAACATTTTGAATACTTACAGCAATTGTGGGTGCCCTATCTGTGACCATTGTCAGACCTTCCACATCACCAATGCATTCATGTAGTTTTTCAAGAAACCATGTACAAGAATCCGTAGTCTCTTTTGGGCGAATTCCATACCCAATAGGCAAGATTTGATTGTTGTCATCCATGGTCACTGCATGCAAGATGGTGCCTTTGTACTTTCCCTTCAAATGAGCACCATCCATAATAATAACTTTTCTACAACACTCTCTGAAAGCACGTATCTGCAACAACAATATAAAAACCATTAATATATCAACAATATAATTTGTTTATAAACATTTAAGAAAATATCAAATATATTTAAAAATATATTACCGCACATCCAATAGCGAAAAAGCAATACTCAAAACGATCCTCCGAATCATTTTTTTATGTACGCCACAGTACCAGGATTATGTTTCTTCAGATTGTGAAAATAAACTGGAAGTTTGGAGAAACTTTCTTCGGGGGTCCCCATCATCAATCCCAGAGCAAATTATCTAGCATGTCACGCTTGTGAATAACTCATAGTTATTTGTAGCAAAGCATTCATATCTCGAATTATATCTTTAGGCTTCCAAACTCTCAAACTTCATTGACCCATAATGTCATGTATTATGGTTCCCACAACTTCGCTATTTGTTTTGTCTATGATTTGGGTGTATAAGCAATGAAGAACATATATGCTTGTCATTAAACGTCTTAATTTCAAACATTTCTGTTCCTTTAATGAGAGACGCGTATAAACGCCAATGACAGTTTTCTTGCATACAAACAACCTGATACCGAGATTTTGAAGATTTTTCAACCTTTATCTGAAACTTTTCTCTAACAGCTTTCAATTTAACAGCAAACGCTAGCTCCTTTTGGTGTTATAGGTTTGATTGACAATTAATTTATCATTCGGACCTAAACTGTGAAATGGTCCAGGTTCAAGAATAGGTTCTGGACAACCAGGAATAGAAGGAATACAATACCATGGATTAAAAGCAGTTTTCTGTTTCGTGTACTCATCATCCGACCACCCTTCATTTGATTTTTCCTCACATCTTTGATCATCAACTTCAGGAACTTCTCCAAACTCGAACAAATTATGACGTTGTAATTCAGTCATGCCCACTTTTGCTTCTTTATCATTATCTGATACAAAAGTATCATTATCAGATACAAACTTATCAGTAACCGAAACTTTTTTTTTCATAACCCACTGGCACTTCATTTCCTCTTCCCCTTGAACGGTTTCCATCACATTGGCTTTCTCTACGACCTCTATTAGTTTTTGTTAGATTAAATTGGTTGTTAACCACTGCTTGTTCTTCAACTTCTTCACCTACCACCGTTAAATACAAATGCATCGTCTTCTTTGATTTAGACATTACATGTCTCAATTGAAATACATCAGTTTCATCTCCAAGCTCCATGACATACCCTAACTCTGGGTACTTAAAAGACAAACATATATGACTATTTAGCACATCTTCCTTACTTCTAACCATTTGTAATAACATTTCATGGTCAATGTTAGGAGGAAGATTTAGACCATAGTTTTTCACATTATTTCTAACGTAAACCTCATCTCCATTAACTAACTGTCAAGACCCTCCCGTACACAAAATAATAAAACTCATTTTACAAATCACTCTCCACAAACACAATGAAACAACAACTTCTACTGGTAATTGAAACTCACAAACTCACAAAAACCCACTAAAATACGTCTATAACTTCTATAACTGATCCGCAGAGGTGTACACTGATCCGCAGATGTGTACATTGATCCGCAGAGGTGTACACTGATCCACAGAGGTGTACACTGATCCGAAGAGGTGTACACTGATCCACTGATAACAGTTCTGTGGATTCCCAAACAGTTCTGTGGACTGATATTAAACATAAGTTCATTATTTTTAACCTTTTTTTGTCAAAATTTTTACATAAAACATAAGGTATTAGTGTATTAAAAAAATTAATATTAACAAACGAAAACAAAAAATAGAAAAAATGAAAAAACGAAAAAAAAAATTAAAAAACTCAAGATCCGTAGAGGTGTTTCGGTTCCTCAGAGGCAAACTTATTACATAAAACATTTCATTATTTTTAACCTTTTTTTGTAGAATTTTTTACATAATAATCACATAAGGTATTAGTGTATTTAAAAAAAAAAATATTAATAAACGAAAATGAACGTAAAAAAATGAAAAAACCAAAAAAATAAAAATTGAAAAAACCAAAAAACAAAGATTCCGCAGAGCTGTAGAGGATCCGCAGAGCCTTTAATGGATCCGCAGAGGGTGCTCTGCGGATCCTTTGGCCATTTTCTGAATTTTTTTTTCTTGGTTATTTACTTCAAACCACCTCCTCTTTTTGGTTATTTCTGGAATTTTCTATATTATAATTGGTATGTTTGATTAATAATTTTTTAAGTTTTCTACATAAACTGTGGGAATATTTTTCATAAAGTTATAAAAGGAATTTGAACTGAAAATTTTCGATTATTTAATATTTTATCTTAATTAAGAAAAAGTTTTATTTATATTATTTTAATAGGAAATGACATATTATATTATTTTTCCAAAATAGTATGACTTTTCTGTTAAAAAAAATTAAGACTTTATAAAAAAAAATTCTAAAATAATGAGATTTTTCTGCATAAAACCCTAATTCTTTTTAAGACTATCATCATTTAAAACCAAACCAACCAACCAACTATTTATTAAAAAAAATTCTTTCTTTTTCACCTAAACAACCCAACTAAAATCAAATTTTCACTCCCATTAGCAACCCAAACCAACTTAATCTTTCGTTTACTTGTGACAAAATTGTAAAAATGGTCCTTGTGGTATTTCAAAACTTGTATGTTTGGGGCAAAAAAGTTTGGACTCACACCAATGGTCCAATACTTTGATTTTATTGCGTGTTTGGTCATATGGCTTACCAACCGTTACTTTGGTATCGTTAATTGCCCCATGCCCCCCCCCCCCTCACGTGAGGGTATTTTAGTCCATTCATGTACTCTCCTCTATTATTTTAATATTATTTAACTCCGTAAAGAGACTATAACGTCTCTATTTTCGTCTATGACCAGAAACCTGCAACGAGCCCTAACTCGAACTCCCATATGTGGTTTCATTGTCTCCAGCAACAATGATGATGTGCTTCTACAGAAAGTGGGCCATAGTTTCGAACAGCCTGGACGAATCTAAAGCTAGGGCGCCGATTATGGGGATGTCCTAAGTCTGTACTTGGCCTGGTTGACTTTTCTTGTTTTGTTGACTTGTTGTCCATGGATCGTTGACCAGAAGTTTAACCAGATTGACCATTGGTTATTTTGAGCCTTTTTGGATATTGGGCCATCTCGGGTTAGACTCATGATGGGTTTGGGCCCAATTTGGATATTTGGGCCTTATTGGGATTCTTACAAAGGCAATAATTTTTAAGATGAATTTGAAGGGCGACATCAAGTATGTTGAAGATATGATAAAATGGTGGATCACACTTCGTTTCATTATTCTTGGTATTATTCCACAATTGCTTGAAGAGAATAAGTGAAGGCAACTTTTGCGACTCAACATAAATAAGGAGATTGTTAGGTATCACATTTCAGAATATTGTGTTCGAGTCTGTATGTGAAAGGTTTTATAGTTTTGTATCTTATAGTCTTCAACTTGTATATACGGAATAATATTTTGATTTCATAGTTTTAACACTAGGCTTTACAGTTTATGTTAGTTTGTGTAACAGGCTATCTTAGCTTAAGTATTGCGACTTGTTTGGTCATTTCCTAACCAACTCTCTTAGGGTGACCTTTATAAGAGATGTTAGTTAGACAGAGAAAGTATCTTTTGAGAGGTTCTTACATTCAAAATTGTAATCGAGCTTCTTACTCTCTACTCAAATTCAAATCTTATTTACTTTCTTGTGTTTATTCCATTTTCTTGTATTCAAACATGATTTATGTATTCTCGAATCTGTACAATCCTACAAAAAATACTAATGATTCTAAAGATTCTTAATTTCATCATCATGTCATTAATTATCTCTATTTCATTGTTCAGTTCGTATTAAACAAGATTTGTTTTTTATTAATCCTAATGGTAATAAGAATTAACTTATGCATAGAATGATAATCCAATACATTCACACACATTAAGTTCATAATTTTATTAAACTAACCTAGGTTACGATCAAACACTAGTCATAATTACCAATGATCATGCATAACTATGATTCAAATTAACAAAGTCAAAATGATCATCTAAATCTATTAATTCGGCAATAGGAAATAAATTGAAAACATAAGGGTTTTACCCCATAATAAGTAAACTAAAGCAAAAAAAACATAACCAAAATATTGCGAGACACGATTATCAAGCAAACCCGAAGTGAAATCTAGATACTTCTAGCGCTTGATTCTCCAAATCCTTGATAGTAGCTTCAAAATCAACCTAAAGTGGTTTTTGGACGAATATTTTCATAACATATTCTTCAGAATAAGTTAGGATTATTGGATATCGATTTAGGGTTGAAAATCCCGAATATATATAGGAAATAGCGAAATTGTGACACGGGAATGCCCAAACCGCGTTGCGGAATGTCAGGGCTCCGTATTTGACACAAACTCGTAATCTGAAAAAATTCAGATTTTTTTGTTTTTCTAAAAGGACGTGATACGCCTTTTAAAAGACATGGCGTCTCTTTTGTTGGTATTTACGTATTTGTTGTATTTCATCGTTTTCAACTCTATTATCTTCTTTTTGCATCTCAACTATGATTTTACCTATAATTATCCATTTCAAAACATATTAAATATCATTCATCTTTAAAAATAAAATTTTAGATTAATTTTTTAAGATAATGATCTAAAATATATAATTAAATAAGGTTATATATAGGGTGAGATTTTATATTTTATTTTCTTATAATGATTTAAATACTAAAATAAATAAAAATAATGTAAAAATAATAATAAAGACAAAATAATCCCTTCAAATTTGCCAGAAACAAATCTACGAGAAATTTTTATTTTGAACCTAAAGTTGAAATTTTTTCGATCCTATCTATCCATATATTTTACAAAACATATAGTCGTACTATAATATTATAATTAGTAGAAGACCCCCCCCCCCCCCCCCCCCCTCCGTATTCTGCTGCGGGTTTGGATAAAGTGTGAAGTGATTCCAATCCTGCTTTGTTTGATATCTTTCTTATCTATCATGCAACCTCTTTAATTCTACTCTAAGATCACCAAATTGGTTGAAACTTTAAAACATCATTCGACAAAAGCTTCACTTTTAGCTTAAACCACAAAATAAATCAAAAGGTTATCCACAATCACGTGTGTTAAAATCACATATTAACACACGCAACTCTAATAATATGTGATTCTCAATAAATATCCATGTGGTTTGGAGTCAATATAATCTTTAATGAATGCCAAATATCAATCACTTTTTAAGTTTTCACTTTTCAAATACGACAATTCAAGATTAATCCTTAAAGATTCCAATAAGACATCTTATAACAATTCAAGATATCAATTAGTTTTGACTTGTGAGAACTAAAACATAGCTAAGACAAAAGATAAACAATTCATTAAAAAAAAAAAAAAAAAAAGAATGCAACTAATAATCATAGGTAAAATCTGAAATAGGGGACAAGAAAATGAAAAAATACAAAAATAAATAGATTCAGAAACTAACAATTTGATGGGAACTAAAACAAACCAATTTGACAATCAAATGTCAAGCAATGGGTGCTACTAATAGCTTTTGCTTTCAGGGAACTATTGCTTCAAATCTAGTCTTAACTTTGACATATTTGTTGCTGATGTTGTTGCCCCCTGTTTTGACATAGTTGACAAATCTGAACTTGTTCTTGTTACATGGTTATACATGAGCTATTGTCCCATCAACTCTCTTGCAATGATACCACTGTTTCATGTATCTCAAATTACAAAATTGCTCTAATCCTATTATGCTACATATAAGATTATAACTCACTAAAGTAGGCAATATATGTTGGTCTATTTATTGTACCATACACACATATCCACACTAACACACAACCTTACACATATAATTATAGCATTGTACTTTCAAAGTACAATACTTAAATAAGGAAAAAAAGTTCATAGTAATAAAAATAAGAAGTCATATTATATAAAAATGTTATCCTTTTTTAATCGTTTAATAAAACAAACTTTATGGTTATTCGATTATAAAAATGGGGAAATATAGAAAAAGCAAAATAGTTGTTCTCCATTACCAGTTTAGCTACTTAACTATTTTTTAATACGCCATTATACATTTTTTAACGTTTGAAAAAAAAAACTTATTTTTCCCAATTATTGGATTTGAAAAAAATGGAAAATACATAAAAAAAGATAAATTTGTTTTATCTTTTCATTGTAAGAAATAGAAAATATTAGTTCTTGTTGTCCTTTTTAAGCAATAGAATAGAAGATCCAACAGCCATTAAGGCAATTCATTCCTGAATAAGGTTAGGTCTAGTTCTTTTGTTGTCATCGGGTGTTCCTAACCTGTTGTGACATCCTCCATTTTTCAAAACCAATTAATTTTTTTTACGCTTTTAAGTATTGAAATACGGAAGTTCCCAGTTAAATAAACATTTTTGAAATAACAAAAGTTATTTTATTAAAACCTTCGGGATGTCATTCGTTTATATCCGAACATACATTACAGTGTAAATAAAAAGGTCCTAAAATAACTAATGCAAGTCTATCCTTTATTCCACTCAACATCCTAACTAGGCAATTTCAACTTTAGCTCCACTACCTGTGATGCAATTAAATGAGTGGGTCAGGTTTGGGAAACCTGGTGAGATACGTAGGGTTTTCAAGCCCATAAGATTTTAATGATAAAATACCATTCCTGGAAGACATATATTAAGTGTAAATATATAACCTGTCCTAAGCCCATCTTCCCAATCCCAACCAATCCTTATAGATCCTAATTTGACAATCATCTGGAAGAATCACCTTACCAGATGAACTGTCTAAGCAACTGTTTGACTACACCTGCGTGGGGAGTCCTTGGCTAGTGTAAGTCATATAAGGTAACCAATGTTTAGAGATTTTGATGAATATGGATTTCCATTTCATCTACGTCCATGGGTTATAAATCTATGCTAGCGACGTAATTCACAAAACTGCCTAGAACAACAAAGTGTTGGTCATCTACTATGGTCGATGACCTAGACATACCGTTCGATTGTCTGATCGGGACCCACCATTTCTGGTCATCCCAGGACGGGGAGGATTACACTCCGATCCGGTCCTACACTCTAACCCAACTATGAGACCTAATCAATTTCAAGCCTATTCGACACTAAGCAATCTTTTATAAGTCTTATTCTTAATCTAAGGCAAGACCTATATCTAAAGGCAATTGATTACTACAATAATTCCAAATCCAAATGTTACTATCCTATCTTTACAAATAGCACATAACATTGATAATACAAACAACATTTATTATATGGATATTTTTAAGTTAAGCTTATGTTCTTGATAATAACTATGCACTCACCTGACAATGGTGATTGGTGAATCGGGAAAAGCTTCGCCTTACACCTTTCTCGAAAGACATAAATGTACATAACACTACGTCTTAGTCTAGTTTCATACTACATGGAACTATCATCTTAAGAGTTTATATTCCTCAATAATTCCAAAGTCTACTTCAAGATCAAACAAGTAAGGATCAGCCAGACAGGACAGTCAGGAGGCAGGATCATTTTGACATATAGTCTTTTTGAAATCCAACAACCAAACCGACGTGACCATTCTAGATACCTCTCCCATAGTAGATCAATCAACATAACTTGGAATCGTTGATAAATCTTAATTATAAGATCTTAGTAATGAATTATTACTATAATTATAAATTACACAGGAGCAGAGTAAGGTGCTGCTGTTTGTTTTTTCTAAGGCAAAATGTATGCAGTCTGCGGACCACATCTGTAGACTTCTGCAGTAGAAGAGGTGGACCAAACGTCTGCAGTCTGAAAAAAAAAGACTGTTTGTTTTTTTTAACATCTGCGGGCTACTAAAATAGACTGATTTTTTTAAACTTCAAAGTGATTTTTTAATATTTCTATGACTTTGTTATAAATAATTAACGAAGATCAACTTTTATGTATTATTGTATAAAAGATAAAAATAAAAATGGTATGAATTAACGTATATATTTGATAAAAACCAACAACTTTGGTTGCAAAGTTTAACTAAACATTATAATTAGTGATCAAAGAATTTGATACATAAATGGATGGAAATAAACTTCGATTTTTTCAATTAAATCCATTAAAAACGTATCATAAATATTTTCTCGAGAAATTGACGATATTGTACTGAATTGGGCTGGCCCAAGGCCTAACCTAATAACCTATATAATGAACAATACCTCCTCCGTGGAGGGGGATCCTTCCCCATGGCTCAGTCGCCACACCATACTCCGGCCGGGTAGCTCAGCCGCCACCCGGCCGTCAACCACCATACACCACAACTAGCACCAAGATGGTTCTCTCCAGCTATGGAGTACCATCTCAAAACCTATCTCAAAACCTCTAGCTGATCTAACTTGACCGTCGGAGCCCGCTCCCGGGGCACAGTCCCTGGACGGCTCTAACGACTTTGCACTGTGATGTTAGATCTCCGCCGCAGCAGAAGACCAGAAGACTCGCCGGAGGTTTATGTCGCATCATCAAGAAAAACAATCTCTATCCTGGGATGAATAGTAAAACAACCGGATCACCTTATATCTATCTCAAGGTGTGCTCCCCCTACTAGCAACCCCATCTTGTATCCATAGCTTGAATAGTAAATCAAGAAAAGCAATTTGTAATTGTTTGTCTAATTTGATGAATTTGCCTCCTAAGAAAAGCAACTATTTCTATACTCATCTCAATCCAAATGCTTGTATCCTGCCCTGCATAGTAAATCAAGAAATTAGAAACAAAATATGAAAAAAAAAAAACTCAATTCATTAACATTGAGTATACAACAATCATTATTTAATTGAAATTAATGAAAAAATAACATGCACAAAGTGTTAACATTAAGTATAAGTATATGCAGTATTTAGGTAACCAACCCTATAAAAAACAATTTTCTTACAAATTAAACAACTTTTCACATTTATAATATCTAACATCATTAAAAAAAATACATATATGTGGGATTTGCATTTACCTAGAAAAAGTTTTCTGCAAAAATCTTTCTTTGTATTCTGGCATTGAAATTTGGTACTATGGTTTCTATAAATACCAATACAAAATTTTAATATAGAAGAAAAAAGGAATAACTTATGATTTAAAAGCGGTTGTTTTATGCTTAATTCAATAGAGGAAAAGGTTAACCCAGTAACGAAATCTAAAAAAAAGAAATGATTATGAACAAAATTCTCACCCTTAAGGAACTTCTATAAAAACTTCTAGCCTGCTCAAATTAGAAGGAAAAAGATGACAAATAAGTAACCAATAATTCAAATCTAAAGTGTTGATTATAATCAAATGAAATCATGTCAATTGGTGCAACATTTCATGTAAGATATGCTCAAGTCAAATTAGTTGATATTGTTGAATTCTACATTTGGTCATAACTGGATTGGTGTTGGATGAACAAAATAGAATTTATCAAAGAAAAATTTATTCAAGACCTGATAAAAAAGGGAAGAAAAGTATTAAGTCGCTAACTTTACTGCCCCAAAAGCCACACTAATGAGAATACTAATCAATATAAACTACCAACGAAAGAAACTACTACCAACGAAAGAAACTACTAACCAATTGAAAGGGGCAATATTAACCCTGGTTGATATATTAGAGCTACTGTTGAATCCGGTGGAGTATGCTTATGGAATATGAGGGCAAACTACTTTGGATACCACACATATGAAATTAGATCATATTTTTTAACTACATCAAAACAAACTTCATATGAAATCAGATCATATCTCTTTCTGTACATCAGAACAAACTTTATATGTAAGTAAATTAATTTATAGAATGATTTTGATTATACCAAATAAAGCAAAACAGATCAATGATGTTGAGGTTTTCCCTAATACATCTGCAACTGATCTCAAAATTGGCTGCTCAGGTATCTTGCTCTTCAGCCATTACCACATCAGAAAAACACATATGGGTATCTGATTTCAGACCACTGCATAACACAAAAGAGATTAAAAGAAAAGGGAGCAAAAGATCATCATACTCGTACGTGAATAAGAACGATTCAGTGAGCATAATAAAAAACAGGAAGCGTCACAAGAGAGCAAGAATTTGGTGATTATATCAACACGCGAGAGGAACAATTTAGAGAGAGAAAGGGAGAATTGATATGGCGCTGTGGAGAAACACGTCTGGTTTGGGGGAAATTTAGAAGAAAGGTCTGCGATCCCAAAATATTGGGTTTGTGTGTTTCGTTTTCGTTTTCGTAGGTGTGTTGTAAACCTTTTTTCTTCCTTCACCCTTCATCTCAATCGATGAGTAAAGCACAGATGAAAGTCTGAATAAACCCTAAAAATCGATCCACAAAATAGAAAAAGGACGGAAGTAGGGAAGAAATTGAAGGCGACAATAGCGACATACCACAGTCGATACATCCATTTGTTGATGATCACTCAAAACCGTCAATTTCCTGAAAACCATCAACGTCGAACCGTCAATTTGCTGAAAACCATCGGCGTCAATTCGAGGTTACAAAGAAGAAGTCTAACGATCTGATCAGAAGCAAAAACCGTGGGAAGGCGGTGGAACACTAACCTAGTAACCTGTTGAAAAATCGATTCCAGTTGGTCATCATCTGAAATCAAAGGCACCGAAGAGCAGAGAGAGTAGATGGAAAAACCACAAAGCCACAAAATCGGGGACTATGCTATAGAAACATAGCAAAGGAAAGCTTGAAAAGTGTAATAAAAATTACAGAAGAACACTTCTAATCGGAGGCGAGGCTTCAACCGATGTAGGAATCCAGAGCCAACCCTAATCGTGTAATTGGATGCAGAAAAATAAAGATGGAATCAGATTCAGAGAAATGGATGGGTAGAGCGATGGTGGTGGCGGAAGGCAACAATCGACCATGAAGAGAAGTTGAAAAGACGAAGAATTAAATCGGAGGAGAACTGAGGAACCATGGTTGTATAAGGTTGGATTTGAAGCGGTGTATGATAATTGGAATGGGGAGGCGGTGACCAGTGAGGAAGAATGGACGAGGAACACGTAGGTGTGATGACTAAGCAGTTGGAAAAACAGCCACCTGTAATTAATAAAAATTTTTAGAGTAAATTACACGAATGGTCCCTATGGTTTGAGGTAATTTGCGTGTTTGGTCCCTAACTTATTTTTTTAACTCGAAAAGTCCCTACTGTTTGTTTTTTTTACGCGCTTGGTCCCTATTATTTCTTTTTGTTACACGCTTTGCCCCTGTCTTACCTAAAAGACTATTATTTAAATAGGAAAAAAATGATAGGATAAGTAAGGTAAGGTGAATGGGGTGAGGTTGGGGGTGTGTTTATTTAAATAAATTAAAAAATCAAGGGCAAAATAATTTTTTTAGGTAAGATAGGGACCAAACGCGTAACAAAAACAAACAGTAGGGACCTTCCGAGTTAAAAAAACAAGTTACAAACCCTAAAACAGTTCTGGTGAAAGTGTAAAGGGCAGGAACTACACTGTTCCTAAGAGTTATATATATATATATATATATATAATATATATATATATATATATATATATATATAATTTAGTTAATTTCCTTCTTAATTAACCCTAAAAATATTGATGGCCATGTTTTATTAAAGGAATATATAAAAATTGGAAAAAACTAGAAAAAGTTGGTGCATGGGGTTTTGGGATTTGCAAAGTGACAAAAGGTAGGAAGGTACCCAACACTAATCTCAGATGCAGCCTCCTGCAAAGCTCTCTGATTTAGGAACCAAGATACCCTCATTTTCCTTTTACTTTTTTGCTATTTTGAATCTTAAAATGTCAAAGTTACCTTTAAACAGTTTATTTTACTCCCACGATTTATATCAGATTATAAAAAAGATGACTACTTATTGTTTTTTAATGATAAAAAAGTTAAACAGAATATACTTTTAGTTACATTTTTTAAAAATTCAGTTATTTTGAAGACAATATCAGACGCAATGAGACATAAAGAACATTTAAAATAAATAATTAATTAATTAAAATTTTATTTAAGAGGCAATAGATTTATCAAAAGTGTATTAGTAAGACCGGAGGGTATGAGAGGGATATTTCCCTCATTTTTTATGGGCCACACCATCCTTTCTCTCACTTTTCTTTCCCTCACCTAAAACCCAATGAATAGATGGGAAACTCACCTCACTATTTTTTTATTTTTTTATAAAATATATTTCATACATATATTATACTCATTTTGTAGGCAATTAAAAACCATGAAATTTGATATATTTTTTTAATAGGTATATAATTTTATAAATATTAAAAAAGATAAAAAAAAGAAAAAAAAAATTGTCCAATAGCATGAAGAGAGAGAGTGCGGCACCCCCTCCCCCACCTCTTTCCCGCGGGTTGCTTCCCTCACCCAATGGATGGTGTTCCAGTGAGGGAAGCTTCCCTCACCCCTTTCCCGCTATGATACCGTCCGGCCTAACGGTAAGTGTAGGGGATTTCATCCTTTCCGCCTCATTCAACCCATTTGCTATATTAATTTTTCTCTTTCCTTCTATTTTTATATTTCTCATACATATACATCCTAACCCATTTAATTCTTTATTTTAAAATACATATAGACTAGTAAAATCATAAAACTAATTAAAAAAAAGTTAAAACATACAAAACTAATTTACAAACTAATTAAAACATATAAAACTATTTTGATACAAGTATTTATGCATGTAGTACAACTAACAAAAGCTTGAGAGAGAAATGTTTAAGAGAGTTATGTAAATGGCAAACACATCATTCTCAGTTTCTCACCCCACCATTCAAACTGTTGAAGGGAGAGTCGTTGTCTTGGAGGTACCAACAATATCTCCCAAAATTCATCCAACCCATCTATTGTAACATACACGTTTTGAGACCGTGTTTTATATAAATAATATTATGAAATATTATGTGATATTGAGTATTGAGTTCTAACAGATAGTTTTTACTAGAAATAAGGTAAAACTATGTTTAGAATCACTCATAAACTATTGGAAGTCTTATGAGATTCCAATTAAAAGCTAAATAGTGAAATTTAGCGAAAATATAAAATTTTAAATAAGTAAAATTTTATTATTGAAAGTTGTAGATAATCTCGTTAGAAACACGTAGGCGAAAACCTCGTCGAAATCCGAGTTATAACGAAGAAGTTATGACCAATCGAAGATCCGCGATAAAACCGGCACGGTGCCGAATGACGTAAAAAGTGAGTTTTTGATAAACTATTTTTTAGCCTTAGTGATCTAAATGAAATTCGTAGTATTCGTTAAACCGAGAAGTTTGATAAAAAGAACGTCAAAATCTGACTTCGTATGAGGAAGTTATGATTTTTACAAGTTTCAGCTTAGCAGTAGACAGCTAAAAACTCGAATTTTAGATCGAGTGATTTTTAGCCGACACAACCTAAACAAGAATCGAAGGTCTCGTCATTAGTAGTACAACGGTAAAAAGTCTGACGAAAACGGACGTCGGATGAAGAAGTTATGAATTTTTAACGGATTTACCAGTCCCGGTCTGTTAAAAATAATAATATAAAAATAAAGTCAAAATTTTCCGACGAAGTCGAAACGAAAGTTATAGAGCATAATTTTCTCTACGCGTGCATATAAAGAACGTCAAAAACGAAGTTCGTATGAGAAAGTTATGGATTTTACAAGATTGGGCATATTTTTCTAGAAATTTCGTATGAATAGTGATTGCCACGTCACCCTCGCTCGGAGTTGGCCACGTGTCCGAAGCTGCTGCGTGGCATGTCCGAGAAGCGACGCGTGTCGCACAGGTGTCCGAAGGGCCACGTGATCCTCGCATGCCACACGTGATCCGACCCTCGTGTTGGCTCCTGATTCGACCAAGGCTCCTGACCCGATCCGAAGCTGTAGACGCATCACCTGACCAATCCGAGGCCCGAAAAATTTATCTTTTCGGTTTCGAAGCCCAACCCTCGCAGGGCCCGGTTTTCAACGAAGAAAGTTATATTTAAAGCCGAAGTACTGCCCAAATTACTATTTTGATCCCCGGTTATTTCACGGTGAGTTTAATATATAGGAACAATTGTATGTTATGTGTTATATGTGCTATGTGCTTTTCCATGTTATCATCTCGAGTTGTTGTTTCCGCTATTTTTATAGCAAGGCTGTACCTCTGACTTGAAGTGTATGACATAAGAATCACTTGGGTATTGGTATGAACCGTTGACCATGAAGTGTATGACATAGGCATCACTTTGGCTTCGGTAGTATGCTAAGATAAGGCTGAAAGCCTAAATATTCTAGCAAAATGATATTCCTGAGCATTTTCTGTGCCATTTGTGCTGAAACTTTATTGATTTTATATCAAGTATGAAATTGTTATGTCTCATTGATTGATATGGAAAGCTTTTCGCATTATGCCCTTGTTGTTCCTTGTTCTTCTTTGATTCTGGCATATTGAAGTATATATATGGCATAACGTTATATTGTATCTATTATTGAACTCACTAAGCCTCACCGCTTACCCCTCTCAATGTTTAACTAATTTGCAGGAGATAAGCTTCCAATATAGTTATATACTGATGGAAGATTTTTGAATAGTTTGAAACTACTGTATTGATAGAAGATATTCGAATAGTTTGAAACTATTGTATTTTGCACTCCCATATGTATAAAACTATAGAATCCTGGGGAGTTATGTAATATATAACACTTGAAATAGTTGGTTTGTATCCAGTAGTTTGTAACCGCTTTATCAATATAAAATATTGTTTTATGAATATGCATGTAGCATGTTTCGGAGTAGCAATTGTTATATATGAAAGTGTGGGTCCTTTCAATCATGGTATCAGAGCAGTGGTTTAAGGGAACTAAATTCCACGGATTGGTATTTAGACTTAAACTATTGGAAGTTCAATATATGAACTTAATTATTGTAAGTATAGGGATACAAACCATAGGAAATATATATATAAAAGTATTAGGTAATAGTAAACCCTAATATTCTAAAATACAATATTACTCCCTATTGTAGCGCAATGGCTGAACAGGTTAGTAGCCATACCCCCGAGGTTGGTGAAGGTCCTCAACCTGAGGAAGTGAATACTCCAGTATCTCCTCGTGAGGAGCGACTCTTGGGTAGACTTACCGGTGTTATTCGACAGACTCTCGAAGAACACAAAAAGAATGGTGATAAAGGAAAAGAGAAAGCCACTGGAGAATCTTCAAAAGGAGAGGTGAAGCGTCCCTCGTTCAAAGATTTCAAAAGTAGTGGTGCTACAGAGTTTTCTGGTGTTCTTAATCCAATTGTTGTTCTTACCTAGATCCAGAACACAGAGAAAGTGTTTCGTATCTCTCATGTGGATAATGAAGACAAAGCTAACTATGCTTATGCAATGCTCATCGGAGAAGCATTGGTCTAGTGGGAAGCAACATATGAAGCTCTAAACGGGTTTGACCAGGAGAATTTAGCCTGGGAAATGTTCAAAACTCGTTTGTTAGGGAAATAGTGTCCTCTAGATATGAGGAGGAGATTGGAGAAGGAATTCCTCGAGCTTAAACAAGGAGGAATGACTGTGAATGAGTATGAAACTCAGTTCAATCAAAAAGCACGGTTTGCCGTAAAGTATATTCCAACTGAAGATGAGAAAATTCAGTTATTCTTAGAAGGACTACGGCACGAAATTCACGATTTCGTTGCCAATCGGGAAGTACTGTCGTTTGATAAAGCTGTTGAGTATGCTCGAAAGCGTGAGCATGACTTAGAAATACGTGGTGCCACTCTTACTGTTCCGAAACATCCACGTACTAAAAGGACAGCTCCTGCTTCCCCTATTCCACCAACTCAATCCGTTCGATCTGAACCTAGCAAGCAAGTACAATCTCAGAGTGCTTTTCGTGGCCGCGGCAGGTCACAATCTTTTTCTCTTCAGTCACCAGCTTGTCGAAATTGTGGAAAGAATCATCCGGTCGAA